GGCAAAACTGAGGTGGTCTATGCTGACAACAGACCATTCTTAGCCAATTCCAATATGGTGGAAGCACGGTACTATGATGAAGACGTAGGAACCATCCGTTTCTTCGGCATGGATAGACAAGGAAAACCTTGTGGAATCACTGCTTGCAACAAGCCTACCTTGGCTAAGTATGTGGTTGACAAGGTATGTAATGAACTCTTGCGGCCTACTGCCATTATTCCATATAGGCCGCAAGAGGAGCCCAAAATTGAGGAGTTATTATGAAGAAATCCAGGATAAACAAAGAAAGAAGGGAGGCCGTATCTGAAATTCTAAAAAAATTATCGGCCTATTTTGCTGAAAGAAATACAAAAGCATATTTGTCGGAGGTGGTACATGAAGGTGAAGAGGATACCCATACCGACGGAGTCATAATGGAGGAGTTAGATCTAGCCCCTGCAAAGCTGGATGGCCTCAGGGTCGATGTACAAGATCCATTGAAGGAAGTTAATCTGGGAACGGAGGCAGAACCACGCATTACTTTTGTCAATGGCTTGCTGCCGCCAGAGATGCGAGATAAAATAATTTGTGTACTACATGAATTCAAACACTGCTTTGCCTGGGATTATTCTAAGATGCCAGGTTTAAACAAAGAGTTGGTAGAGCATAGACTACCAATCAACAAAGGATATAAGCCACACAAACAGCCGCCACGCCGTATGTCTCCAGAAGTGATTTTGAAGGTGAAGGAAGAAGTGGAGCGGCTGCATAAAGTTGGTTTTATACGGACAGCCAGGTACTCAAAACGGTTGTCTAATATTGTTCCAGTAGTGAAGAAGAATGGAAAGCTCAGAGTTTGCATTGATTTTCGGAACTTAAATCTAGCCACACCAAAGGATGAATACTCCATGCCAGTAGCAGATTTACTTGTTGATGGGGTTGCACGCCATCGCATTTTATCTTTTATGGATGGACATAGTGGCTATAATCAGATCTTTATTGTAGAGGAAGACATAAGTAAAACGACGTTTCGTTGCCCTGGAAACATAAGTACATATGAATGGGTCGTGATGCCGTTTAGGTTGAAAAATGCAGGAGCTACATATTAGCGGGCCATGAATGCAATTTTCCATGATATGATTGGCCGCTTCATGGAGATTTATATCGATGATGTTGTTAAATCCATGGATGATGAAGAACAATAGGAGCACTTGAGGAAAGCTTTTGAAAGAATGTGACAACATGGTTTGAAGATGAATCCTCTCAAGTGTGCTTTTGGTGTTACAGCAGGGAATTTTTTGTGTTTTCTGGTCCATGAACGAGGCCTAGAGGTGGACAAAAACAAAGCAAGGGCCGTAATTGAAGTGCGGCCACCACAAAATAAAAAGGAATTACAAAGGTTTCTTGGTCAAGTTAATTTTCTAAGGAGGTTTATCTCTAATTTGGCGGGCAAAACTCGTGTCTTTTCACCTCATTTGAAGTTGCAGCCTGATGCAGATTTTAAATGGGAGAGGCAGCACCAAGCCGCCTTTGATGCCATCAAGGAATACTTGTCCAAGCCACCTGTGTTGGTTCTTCTAGTTAAGAATAAACCTTTATTGCTGTATATATCTGCCGCAGATGAGTCAATTGGCTATCTGCTGGCGCAAGAGAATAATAATAAACAAGAACAAGCTGTTTATTATTTGAGTAGAGCTTTGAATCCGACCGAAGTGAAATATTCTTCGATTGAGAAATTGTGTTTGGCTTTGTTCTTTGCAACAATAAAATTGAGGCACTATTTATTGTATTCAGAGGTGTTTGTTGTTTCAAAAACTGATGTCATAAAATATATGCTGTCGCGGCCACTCTTAAGAGGCCGCATTGGTAAGTGGATTCTTGCACTTACTGAATTTAATATGAGATATTTGCCTCAAAAGGCCGTCAAAGGATAGGCTTTAGCAGACTTTTTAGCAGATCATCCTTGTTTAGATGTTAATGCTGATGAAGACAAGGGAATCAATCTCTTTTCAATTGACTTGGTTCCTTGGAGGCATATTTTTTATGGGTCTAGCACTGATCAAGCCTCTGGGGCTAGGATTATTATTGTTTCTCCAGATGGCATAAAAACCCAATGGTGTTTTCAATTGGATTTTGAATGCACTAATAACCAAGCAGAATATGAAGCTTTGGTAATTGGCCTTGAGTTGTTGGTAGAGTTGAAGGTGCCATCGGTTGAAATTGTGGGTGATTCTCAATTAGTTCTCAAGCAATTGAGTGGCGAATACAAGTATACAAGCGTGCTTTTGTCTCCATATTTTGCCACTGCCATCCAACTACTGGAGGAATTTGATGATGTCTCCCTGAAGCATATTCCTCGCAACATGAATATTGAAGCAAATGAACTTGCGCAGATTGCTTCAGGTGTAAAAATGCCTGAAGGCATCTTGGAGAAAGTCATCGTCATCGAAAAACGTATGCTGCCTTCAATTCATCAAAGAGGAATAACGGTGGAAGCATGCTCACTAGATGTCACACCTACAGACTGGAGGCATCCAATAATAGAACATTTGAGGAATCCCAATTCTAAAACATCAAGGAGAACAAGGATGCAAGCTTTAAACTATGTGCTACTCGGGGATGTTCTGTATCGTAAGGGGCAGGATGAATTATTATTGCGCTACCTCGGTCCTGATGAAAGTTGCCATGTGATGTCAGATGTTCATAATGGTATTTGCGGTGCTCATCAGGCAGGGATTAAGATGAGATGGCTAATTTGAAGGCATGGTTTCTTTTGGCCATCTATTCTTAAGGATTGCATCAATTATGCGAAGGGCTGCAGAGCTTGTCAGCTGCATGGTCCTTTGCAGCGAGCGCCAGCTTCTGAGTTACATCCTATTGTCAAGCCATGACTTTTTCATGGTTGGGCAATTGATTTGATTGGGAAAATCTATCCACCTTCTTCTAAAGGTCATTCTTTCATAATAGTTGCTACAGACTACTTTACTAAGTGGGTGGAGGCAAGGCCTATGCAGAAGGTTGAGCAAAGAGATGTCATCAAGTTCATAAAAGAGGATCTGATCCACAGGTTTGGTCT